CCGATTCAGCTGCCCAATTGGTTGCAGCCGAAACTTTGTGTAATGTTGAAGATTTGGCAAATCCGCCACCCCAGGATCACAACCCTCCTTTACGAATTGGTGTGCCTTTCATTCACCTGCCCAATGAGACCCTCAGAGTTCTGTGGCACTGGATGGGGTTAATTATGTTCTCCCACTCCCCTCGCCTACGAAGCTGAGGTGAAGGCCTCGCTTTCGTTTCAACTGCCGGCGCACGAATTTGGTTTTCATCGTGAGCTATGGGTAACACAACAAACTACGATCTCTTCTACGCCGATTGACATGTAAAGTCATCGTGGCCGTGATTTAAAAGAACACACAAGGGAAGTCACAGGGGAAACGCCTTATCCAAAAGGACCTAAGCGACCAGCGGGTAACAGGATGGTATATGACGCATCGCTGATGCAGATTTCCGGTTCAACCGGGAGTCTTGCAGAGGCCTCTCAGTACCCCATGAGTTGTGAGACGGACGGAAGAATTGGAAAACCATTGCCCCCAGTCCGTGCCGTTTTTCGCACCATGGTCAGATCTCCATTGATACGGATCCGCATTGGGTCGAGGATCAGTCGTGGTTCCAGTAGTCCAGTCCTCTTCTAGCCGTATTTATATCATGGCAGTTCGTTGGTCCCAGGGGCCGGATTGCCCGCCTATGGCGGGGAACCGATGCCCGAGTAAAGCAGGAAAATAAACGGCCCATGCCGTCGGCCCGTGTGCGGGGCATTTTGACTTTTTTAAACGTTGTGGCGTTGCTTGGCTTTGCCCGGAGTGGATGGGGATGTCCGAACATAATTGTCAGCATCTGAATATTCTTGTCTGGCAGGACGGAGAAACAAAGCATGGGTGCGGCAAGTTATTCGTTATTTGATGATCCTGTGGCCGTTCATATGCAAGGTATCGTGCGACAGAATAACAGCGAACAGCTACAACCTATGCAGTTGGAAAAAGACCGTTTGATATTATTCGCATATCAAGTGCACCTGAATCAGCAGGCGGCCACAGAGGCAGCTCAGCTGTCCCTGCAGGAAGTCGAGCGCAAAAGAAGGAGACAGAGGACGCAGGAACATGGGTAATTGTGTGAGGGAAAACAAGATAACGAGGGGCGAATGGCTGACAGGGAATAGCAGATGCACCAACACCTGCAAGTTGTCAAGGAGGCGGCGGTACTTTCTGAGCAGAAAGTGGGTGCAGTCCTTCAAGAAAGGACGGTTCAGGCTGTTAATCGAATGCAGCAGGGCCAGGAGCGCGCGCGCGCCGCGGCGCAGCAGGCGATGCATCGGGAACAAGCCAACACCCATGAAGTGAGGGCAGTTAGGGAATGGCATGATCAAGCAGGAGCAAGCACATGCGAGGCGAATGCTCCTCCAAAGCGAGCAGCCCGACTTTAGCGCAGTGAGTCAGGGGGGCCCGTCCGCATCGCAAGTTCAATTTGTGGTGTCGGAAACGGTTGCTGCAGCATAGCTGGGGAGCCCTGCCGCGTTGCAGGTTTAACCGGTGGCGTCGGAGCGGCTTGTTCTGGCACTTATGGTCCCCGATCAACCTGTCGGTCAAGCTCTAGGGGTGCGCCTCCAGAGCCGCCCCGGGAGTTTGCGCGCCACCTCGCTGAGCGACCCAGCCCCTGCCCAGATTTTATCGGTTGGCAACGCGGAAGGAGCAACTTTGATGAGGGCGGGGCGTGCGCGTGCGCATCTGACCCTGGGGGGGGGAGAAATGCGGTTGTTGCGCGTTGCCAAAGCATGGGATGTGCGTTCAATCTAGCAAGATCGTGTTGCAAGGATCTTATCGACGCGGGCGCGCAGCGCATTCGGAGCTGCGCCCAGGAGAAAGCGGAGTCCGAGGAGGCAGCAGCGAGGATCATTTTGGATGATCAGGACAGACAAAGGCGGCCCCAGACATGGGAGGCAGACTTGCAACAACCTGCTCTTGCTTGCTGAAGGCGCAGGACATCTTGGAGTCAATTCG